GCGTTGCCTATCGACGTGAGCAGCATCGCTCAGGCAAATGGTGTTTACACCCCGAAGCCTTCAGACTTTCTCCATTTCACCTGCCTCTCTGCAGAACCCCCTTGAGAACACGTTATGGAACAAGGCAATACTTGGGTGGATAAATTGCCTGGAACAAACAAGCTGGAATTTGTACGATCCCATTCTTCATGTAAGAAAGATGTCGCTCCTTAAGCAGTCCTTAGGGAAAGTACCCACCTGGGGAGCATCACCTTGGGCTGCCCATGTTGGCCGGCCCCTGCTTTGGATGAGCTGCCTGGGCTTCCATACACTGCAGTGTTTCTTGCCATCACTGGGAACCCTAGAAGGGGGGGATCACAAACAGCAGTTTCCTTCCCCTGGATTGGAGGGAAGGGGGTTTGGGGAATGCTTTAAGCCCAGCTGCTGAACCAGGATGCGGAGAGGAACGTTTGGGGCTGTATTTGCTGCGTTGTGCTGGTGCTGCAGCAGCTGATCCCTCCGCCAAAGGCATTTTGGGACACGTACCCTCCAGTTGTCATTGCCTGTCCCTCACGGTGCAGCTATTTCTGCCTCAACTTTCCAGGAAGCTGCCTCCAACGCTTCCCAGCCTAAACCCAGGCTGGTTTAGAAACCAGTTTCATCCCCTCTTCCATGTCTTATCTGCATATATTTGCATAGCACACAGGTTTCTGGGAGGGGAGGGGAGGAGATGCTGGAGAACCACATCCTTTATTCCCTGGTTTTTCCCACTTTTCCCCTTTTAGCAGATTTGTGTTTACTTAGTCCAAGGGGCTTCCTGCTTCCTAAGTCCCGTGGGTGCCTTAATGGTGGACAGAGGGAGGTGGTGCCAGGCCCCATCCTGGCACATTTGCTCTCCCCTCAGCCCCATTTCCAAAAGCCCCCCTGGTCCCTGCCCACTGATGTGTCCATAGATCCCCAGTGGTGCTGCTCCAGCATCTTTCTGGGTTAGAGACCAGTGGGTTTCAGGGGTGGAATAGGATTTCCAGGGCTGTGTTTTTCCAGTTTTCCAGCCAAGCTGGAAATGCAAACAAACCCTCCTTCCATTCCACAGTCTGGGCAAGCGCAGCTCTCTGGGTTTTGGCACTGAATCTTCCCTTCCAGGGATACTCCATTTTCCCCAGCTTTTGCTGGGTTTTCCCTCTCCTGTCTGGTCCCTCTCTAAGTTTATTGCCTCCCGGCAGTCCTGAAGGGCTGGTCCAGCTCTCCTTCCCATGGGATTTGCCACTTCTCTTGGGAAGTAGCAAACTCTTTCCCTTGGGATGGGTTTCATCAACCCCAGTGATGGCCATTCCCATCCTGAGAAGGGAACCTCTCATTTTCCTCCTGCTGTAGCTCCCCTCACCATGGGATGCTGGGGAGGTGGGCAGTTGGGGTAGCATGAGCTCAGGGGGACGTGGTGCTCCATCACTGGTGTGAGCATCCAGGAACCAGGCAATTGAGCAGATCCATCTTGGTGTCTTGGTTTGCTGGTGGACCTGGAGAGATTCAGGACTGGAAGTGGGGTTTGCCTTATGGGCCTTTGGTTTTGATCTTCCCAGTTACACTAGTGTGTGTTCCACTAGGGATGCTCAATGTGGGGAATTCAATATGTGGTTTTAACAGAGATTAACCTGATGCATCCCCAGCCTTATGTGTTTGCTCCTTTCCATGTAAGCCATGTTTCCTCCCAGGTCCTTGTGCCGTGTGGGCTGTTTTGCATGGTGTGGGAGGGTTACAAGGTGGCTGGGAAGATGCACAGTGCCTGCATCCCTGGTGGGCAACCTCTTGCACTGTGGGGTTGACCTGAACTGGTCGGCCATGGTCATCAGACCATCCCTCACTGCTGGGGTACAGCTATTATTGCTTGCCATAAAGACATTTAAGCAAGTGGGTGCAATCGACTCCCCTGGCTGGCTCTCTGTCCTCCATGGCTTCAGGCACGTCCCTTTGTGTTGCTGTTACAATGTCCTTTGCTGTAAGAGAGATGAGATCAAGGCACCTCTTTAATAGTCTACTGAGATAGAAGGGCAAATCAGTAGGAGAATATCACACTGGGGTCTTGGTCTGTCACCAGTGGGGTTGTGCAGATGCTGAGCTCCCATCAGCTGGATTTCTTCTTCCCCAGGGTATGAGGATGAGGAGGAGGAGAGACTCCTCCTGTGCATGAATGGGGACAGCATGATGGGGAAGGTGACAGTGGGCATTGACACATGGGGTGAGTGGAGCTAAAGTGTGTGATTCCTGGAGCAGCATGGAGAGGGGTGTTGGGATGGGAAAGGACCAGTCCTGGGCATGTGGAACTGAGCCTGGAACATCTCACCCCTGGCTGGGATGAACTCCTTATGTGAACTCCTGGTAGGAGCCAATGTGGTGTTGTGGTTGCTGGTATTGCAGAGCGTGGGGCGAGCTGCTGAATGCTGCTTTATGCCAGCCAGGGGCTGCCTGCACCGGCACAGCACAACGAGGGCTCACCGTCCCTATGTGCCATCATCTGAGTACATGAGATCTGCGCTTGGCACATCTCCGTGCTGGACACCGCCTCCTTTAGGACCTTATCAAACCCCAGAGCATCCCCGGGGGTGAGGGATGGGCATGGGGAGCAGGCTCTGCTCTCTTGCTCCCTGTTGCTCCCGGAGCTTTCCAAGCTGCCCTGCTCGGAGGCTGTTTGTCTTCAGCTTGACCGTTCCTCCGCCTCCCCCGCCTGTCTACTCTGCTTCCTCATTCCCGGTGTCGGGTTGAGCAAGAGCAGAGCAGAGCCTCCTTGGGATCAGGGTGAGGCCGGGGTGCAGGGGGGGAGGCTCCAGTTCCAAGTTCCCTTTTTTGTGCGTGTGGTTTTCTTCTCCTCTCTGTTTTCGCTCCCTCTCTGCTCCGCACACAAAGCGGGGCTGTGATGAAACTCCAGCTCGCTCTTGCTTGCAGCGCTCATGCACGGCACACGCTGGAAGTAATTGTCCTTGGTGGAGCTGTGTGAGCTGCAGTGATTTAACCGAAAAGAGGTGGAAAGGAGTTTTATTCCTACCCGCTGTGTTTGAGACTCGCTGCAGCCCCGGCTTCATCTACAAGGTGGATCGGAGCTTGGGCTGGATCTGCAAAGCCCTGTGACCGTGGCCATGTAGTGCCAAGCCTGATTTAAGGTACCTTGCCATGCAGCAGCACTTATACATTGGGCTTGACATGGCTTTGATCCGCTCAAGCAGAGCGAGCTGTGGCTGCCTGCAATGCCCTGTGTAGTGTAGGCACCCCTATGAGCTCCATGCAAACCCTCCTGTGGGTCTCTCCACGTTTGGGATCAGATGCTGCAGTGGGAATTTCTGTAGGTGCCAAGTCATGCTGATAAGTGAATATGTTGGGTGCAGTGCTCCTCACAACCCGGCCTCTCCTTTATGCGCCTTAAATAAAACACAGATGATTTTGTGAGCCTTGCTTTACATTGCCTAGCTGCAGTGGGAATTCCTGCTAGGAATGTTCTGCCCTTTGCATTGTTTTGATGGGCAGAGAGGAGCGTGGTGAGCTGCAAGGGGAAGGTTGGTTTCAGGACCCTTTGGAGCAAAGACTTTTGTCTGAGCTGCCTTAAGGAAAGGGTCTGTGTTTGGTGCAGAAAGACAGGGCAAGGACAGAGCCAAGGCCACCATCGTGCCTCTTTGAATGAGATTTTGTCTCCCTGTCCTGAGCTCCAGCATGTGTCAGCAGGAGTTGCACGTGGAGAGCGTGTGCTCAGCACCAGTCAGGATATAGCTGGTTCTTCTTTGGTTTGCTTGTTAGTCATAGCAAGCCCTCCTTCTCCTCCAGCTCACACACCAGTGCTGCAGTCTGTCAGGCTCCATTGTGGAATACCCATCCACAAAACCAGTTTGTTTTCTTCAAACTCCCTTTTCTTTCCGTATGGCCAACCCGTCCTTCTGTGACACTCCATGGATTTCTGCTCTTGGTCACCAGGGATCTCCGTTATTGTCCATCCCAGCTCCCTTTAGTCCTTTGTGGCTGGTCAAGGTCAGATGTGACTGGTTTCTGATCCAACTGGAGAAAAGCCCAGCTCCTCTTACCATGGGAGCTTGGGGCTGGCGGCACAACCACCCCTTGGTGAGCAGGACCCTCCCTGCACTGCGGTTTTGGTTCCACCGGTTCCGTTGTCTCCGTGCGAGGAGCAATGGGCATCCCCTGCACTGCTTCTCCCTACCGGGGCAGTGCGATGCAGGAAGAGGCTTTTGCATTATTTACACTGCTCTGGAGCCGGAGCCAGACCTGACCCTGGTCTTGCTCAGCTGAAGGTGGGAGCGGAGCCCTCCCATTAACACCATCCGAGCCACTGGAGCTGGGCTCAGGTTCCTTCCTGTGCTGGTTCTCCTGGCTCAGCAGTACCCAGCCATGCCCCTTCATTGCTGTAACGCTGACAAGGGGATGTTTTAGCTCATCCTGGTGCAGCTCCCCCTGAGGTTGTGTGCTCTCAATCCAGCCTGACCCGGGGCTCACCAGCCCTTTGCAGGCACTCGCTGGTGGGGCAGAGCCGAATTCCTGACTTCTGGCCCGTTGGGGTGGCCGGGATCAGTGTGGGGTGAGGAGGAGGAGGAGGGCTGTGGTGTCAGCCCCACTGGAGTCATCATCCCCTCCCCTCGCCCATGGACGCGGTCCCAGCGAGGCGCTTTGCCCGCTGGCAGTTAGCTTTGCCCCCATGCATCCTTTATAAGCACAGAGCCAGGAAGGGGGACACCAGTATCCCCCCATTCCACACCCGTTTTCCTCTCCCTATCCCACCACCCGCATCCCCAAAATTCCCCTTCCAAAATCTTGCATCGCCTAAAGAAAAACCACCCCCCACATTCTCCCTGTCTGCTTTTTCTCGCTAACCTCGGCTCGCTTCGCCTCTCCTCCCCTCCTTCCCTCCCTCCCTCCTCTCCATCTCCCTCCCTCCCTCTCTCTGGGGGGAAAAAAGGTCATTGCGCAAATGATTAGTCAGAGCTCAGTTGCTGTAGCAACCGGCTGCTGGAACTGGGACAGGCGTGCAGCGAGGACAACGGAGAGGTCGAGCATCAGCCAGGACTGGGGGAGCCCAGCCTTTGTATTTGCTTTCAAGAGCAGGGGAGCCGGGTGGGTGCGAAGCCCCCAGCCCCACGCCATGCACGGAGCCCTTGCTGCTGTGTATTCAGTTGCCACCATGGAGCTGGCGTGGCCTCGCTGTGTCTCTTGGTGTGGTGGCACCGTCCTTGATGGCGATGCGCTGGGATGAAGGCTCCTGCGCTCATTGATGGAGTGGGGTGCATTGTGGTGGGCACCCCACAGCCGAGCTGAGCCGTGGGGAGTGTGTGCCGCTGGGGTTCAGGGCTCCGTGTCCTCTTGCAACATCCCACACTTGAAATATGAAGCCAAGTTCCTCCTGATCCTGCACAAGAAAGCAGGCGTTAACTGTGTCCTGCCCATTTCCAGTTCCACAGTGCTGCAGTCCCTCTGCCTCCAGCCCCAGAGCAGCTCCAGAGACTTTCCCATTCCTCCCTGCTGTAAACTCAAGGACAACAGCCTTTCATGCGATGTCCATGGGGCTGCTTGGCTTTGGAGTACAGGACAATGGCTCCTTTGGGGATGGCTGGATCACATGCACTATGGGTTTAACCACCATGGTCATGGTCTTCAAGTGGCTTTGTTGCTGAAGGTGAAACCTTCAGGGGACCTCTGTATCTTCCTTGTGTGAATGGGGACCTGTTTCCATCACCTTTAGGTCACCTTGTCTCCATCTCTGCTGTTCCCCTTGCACACCAGTCCTTCGGGGGCTGAAGACTGGTTTATCTGTGAGCGTTCATGGGGTCTTTGAGCAAGCTCCATGTGTGTTGAGCAGTGGATTGGGGCCGTGCTTCCTTCTGGAGCACATGTGGAGGGTGAACAGCCTTGAGGTTTCACAGGGCTTTGGGACCTCTGAAGGGAAAGTGCTGTGTTGAAGTGGTTGGAAGTTGGTACGAGAGCTGTTGGGAAGGGATGTAAGATGCTTTGGGAGAGCTGGGTGGGCTCTAGGCAGGATCTTGGGGATGTCTTTAGTCTCTTGCTGAAGGTTGAGCTCTGTGCATCCACGTAGGAAGCTGTGGGTTGGGGTCCTCAAGCCTGATTTTGTGGGAAACAGCAGGAAAGGGCCATTTATGCATAAAATGGCTTCCAATAAACACTCTTCCTTTGGGAATGGAGAGAAACTGCTGAGATGTGCTGGAAGTCTTTTCCCTTTCCTGGGACAGTCCTTGATAGCCAAGAGCAACCCAGCCACACACCAGAGCCACACTGATGCTCACAACCCATGTCCCCAGCTCCCCATTACCCCATAGTGGAGAGAGGCATTGCTCACTCTGCATTGCCCATCGATGCTCCTCTTCCTATGAGAGGTCCTCCAAACCTCTTGACATCTCCCTCAGCTCCCTTCACCTCCTTCTTTCACTTGAAGCTGTGTAATTGCAGCGAGCTGGAAGGGGGCTTTGCTGGTCTTAGGGTTTCTTACCTCATGGTTGCAGAGACGAGCTTAGCAGCATGATGCCAGTGTGGCCTACAGGCTCAAACCCAATGGGAGATAAAAGCAAGCCACTGGGCTCCTTTCTTTTTTTGTTTCTATTTTTTTCCTTGCAAGTCTCATTATTTCCAGGGTCTGGAAGTCTTTAGGAGCTCTGAATGCTTGGGGTTGTCCATGCCATTTTGGTGTGTTATTTAGTCATGTTTTCCTTTGAAGGTGGTGAGTAAAACCTACAGATTTAGTCCATCTGACTAATATTTCAGGTTATCAAACAGGACAAAGGAAAGGAAGAAGGAATGAATGTAAGGCCTCCAGGAGAGGGCCAAAAACCCCCTGTGACTCACTTGAACACTCTATTTTTGAGCCTGAAAACACAAAATGGTGCCTGTTTGCTGCTGTCCCCTGCAATGGGCTGGGGCCCATCAGCACTCGGAGCTGGGTAGGGGTTACATGGCTGTGAAGTACACAAGCCATTGTAAAAGTCCCATTATGGACTTTTCTCCTAGATCTTCCATCTCTGAGCCCTGTCCTCGCTCCTGAAGGACCCCCAAGGTCCAGGCTGAGAGGTGGCTGTGCTGTGTTTGAAGGCATCAATCCTATCCTGAGCATCCCTGAGCTAAAAGAAGGGTGGACAGGGCATTGAGGGCGTTTTTTCCCCCCTATGGATGATGACTAATAGAGACTTTAAGCAATGAGTGCTGTTTGTGATGGTTTGGGAGCACATCCATGACCATGTGAGAGCTTACTGCTTGGAAAGGATGTAGGAGGGGTGAGCCTGGGGACAGCCTAGTCCTTCCCTAGCAGTGGTAGAGGTGATGCAGTGTGAGGGGATGGAGAAGCTTTAAAGCCAATTGGCAAAGTGAGTGCTTGAGATCTCACCATTCCCCAGTGGCACCTCCATTGGGAACCACCTACAGAGCGGGATGGGACCATTTGTGATCCCTGGAGCAGGCAGGGATGTGACTTGGGCTGGCTGGGCAGGGAAGCAGCCTGCAGCACTTCCCTCAGCTCTCTCATCTCTATGAGCCGGTGCTGCTCCAAAGCAATGTCCTCGTGAGCGTGTGTCAGTGACCGCCATCCAAGCAGGCGGAAAGCTATAACGGGGGGTCAGGCCCCTCTGCCAGGCTCTCATGTCATGAGATTCCCCCTAAAGCCGCAGGGAGCAGCCCCTGCTGTGGCATCTCATCTCACTGACACGGCTCGGCTGCAGCCCGTGTCCGGGAGGTCACCGGCTGTCGGTGGCAAAGAGCTGGAGTGTCCTGGGAATGCCATGGGTCCAGGCAGCTCCAAGTGACCCCATCACTGCAGCTGCCCTGATGGGTGCTATGTATGATGCTGGTGCTATGGGCCAGGGCTGTGCTGTGGCAGGGTGGATGATGCTCCTCCTCCCTGGAGCCCCTTGGAGCAGGTCCACCATGGGGTTAATGCGTGCTCTCCTCTCAGTCCTCTTTTGTTCACAGCTTGGCCGGGTGCCACCTGGAGCAGTGCTGGGGATGTTTGCTGTTCAGCATCCTGGCTCCTCGGTGGGAAGGACCATTGGCCAAAATGGGGTGTGTGTGAACACAGTGGTCACTCCACCTGAGCCCAGCTCCTCTCTTCCGCACTGTATTCCCTGGCTCTTTGTGGCAGCATAAGGAGGCTGCTGGCTCCCAAACCCCACTGGGGTTATTGTTTGTGAATTGGCAGTGCTGCACTCTTGTCAGCTGAGTGGGTGCTGGGGTGTCCAGTCTGTAACGCTTGGGATGGATCTGCCCCTGCGAGGGATGCCAGGGTTTCCTTGATTCAGTCACGTTAGGGCAGTGATGGGACACAGCTCGTCTGCATGACCCAGGCCAGCTCCAGGTCCTGCTCAGCCTCGGTTAAGCCCAGCACTGTGTGATTTGTCCATATTCATCTGCTGGAAACCCTCCCTGCTTCACCCTCCTTTGTTTCCTCCTCATTGTTTTCCATGGCTTTTCCCCCATCTTGTGCTGCTCGAGGCTGTTGGTGCAAGCTCAGCTTTGGGGCTCATACTTGTTCAGCTCAACACTTGCCTGTGCGAGCCGGCTTGTTCCATGTGCTCCCTGCCACAAGTGGTCCCCGACAGCAGAGCTTGGCCCTGGCTTGGCTCTAACATCCACGTGAACCCAAGCCCACAAATGGCTCACGGGAATGACGCAGTGAAGGTGAAATATCAAAGGGAGACGGGAAGTGCATGGCAGGAGCAGGGGAAACAGGGGAGAGAATAGCCGGAGCTGACCTTAGCAGGGAGGGGAGCCCGGCTGCACGCATGGAAGGGAAATGGGAAAAGGATACAGCTGGGACCGGCTGCAGCACGCGTGTGCTCTGCCCCAGCGGCAGTGCCGCTTCCCGCTTTTCCCATGGGATGGGCTGGAGGAATGAACCAGGTCAGGGCTTATCCCCAACAGAATGGGGCTCCCAGAGGGACTGCAGCAAACGCACCCAGTGGGGCAGCTCTGGAGCTTGGCCAGAAGCCACCGAGTATCCACGTGGGATGCTCTTGGGCATCCATGTTCCCCATTTCCAGGCACTGGATGCAAGGAAACGACCCCAGTCTGGTAATGGCCAGCTCTGACTCACTGCAGATCCGGTGCTGTGCGAGGCCACCCCGGCTCTCTGGGCTTGTTTAAAGGCAGCACAGGGCAGATCCTGTCCTTCCAATGCTCCAAGCTGCCTGTTGAGGAGCAGCACAAGCTGACCTGGGGTGGCTGCTGTCCCTCCGAGCACCCTTTGCTTTGCCCAGGGACAGCTGCCTGCCTCTTCTGCATGTGGGGGTTTATTTTTAGCTGGAAAAAGAACACACAAAGCCTTTAAAACACACAGTTTTGTGCAGCATTCTCCACATAATGGGATTTCTCTCTTCTTCCCAAAGCTGCCTGTGACATTTCCAAATGAAGGGTTCCTCCTGGCCTTCTGCTCTCCCTCCCTCAATCTTCAGTGGAGTTTCTCCCTTTGCTAAGCCACCCTGCTCTCCTCTCCAAGGTCTGCTCTTTCAGGAGGAGGAACAGCAACTCTAAGGGCTGGTTTTTCTGGAATGTTGTTTTTCGAAATGGAAACAAGGAAAATGCAGTAGAAAATTTACAAAGCCATCCCTTATGAGCCCATTAACATGGAATGGGATTAATAATTCCAGTTGTTTCCCCCTTCCAACTAGCTCTCATCTGTCCTTAGCCTTTGCTATGGGAGAACTGGAACAGTAAACGGCAGAGAGCTGCTCCTACTCTTCCTTTACTCAAGGGAAAGGTTTTTCCATCCCATTTGAGGTCTTTTGGGGCTGGAGGGGAGCCTGTGGAGCTGTTGGCTCCCAGAAGCCAACATCTGGAGGGCTTCATGCTCCCAACCTTCTCCTCTCTCGAGTGGAGGGGTGTTCTGAAGTCATCAGGGCTCTGAGGGGTCAGGGGGGCTGTGGCTGACCCAGGGGTAGGTCAGGATGGATGTGAGGACCTGGGAGGCAGAGACAGCACAAACCTCTGCTGTCTGGGTTCCTCTTCTGGTCCTGAGGTCTGTTCCCAGCTTTCCAGCAACATTCCCTAGGTGACCTTGGGGAAGTCACTTTGTCCCTCATCACCTTCATTTCCCTACCTGGGAAAGGGGGGAGCACCTTCTTTGCACCCATGGCCTTAAGAGGTTGTTAACGCTTTTTGATGGCTCTGGGTTGCTGCAGGGATTTGATCAGCCACCATTGACGTGGCTGGAGCAGGGGACAGTGGTTTTCTTTCCAGGTTAGGAACCTATTGGTTGCTTTTTCACTGGTTTCTCAGAGTGGAAGGCACAGGAGGTGGGGACACTTCTGTCCTTCGGTAGCATCACTCTCTGCACCCTCTTGGCATCCAAACCACCGACTGCATCGCAGAAACTCATCCTTGGTGGTATCTGAGGGTCTCACCTGACCCAACCCAGGAGCTTTCACACTGCTTGGCTGGGGACATGGTGCCACAGGGACATGGTCTTGAGAAGAAAACACTTGAGGCCACGGCAGGCTGTGTGAAAGCAGAGGGGCAAATTCAGCCACCCAAATTAAAACTGTTTCCCAGAGATCCCATTGGAGTGGATGTGGCTGCTCTGTTTCAGGTACAGAATCCATTGACCAGAAAGGGAGGTCTCGGGATGGGTCTGGTGCTTGTGTGCATGGTGGGAGCTGCTGCCCATCTCTTTGCCCAAACTAAACATCAGCTCATAGGATGGTTTGCTGCCTGCAAACCCCCAACCACATAAAGCCAGAACAGGGAAGGGGAGCAAAGCAAACCCCCTTTGTCCATGGTTTAGTGCTGGGGTCAGGGCTATTTTTTGTTTCAGCCATGTGATGAGTGTGTTACTCAGCCATGACTCGAGAACTTGTGAGCAATAAAGTCATCTCCAAGTCTGCCAAAAAAGAATCTTCTTAGCACACCCACCTCATCACACGTTCCCACTGCAGCTCCTCAGTGCGAGCTGACAGGGGAGGCTGCGGTAGCCATCTGTGTGCTTGCGGCAGTGGCCCCAGGACAAACCCGTGCCCATGGGTATAGTGCGGTGCGGTGTCACCTCCCTGGTGACCAGGACCTTTTGCTAGCAGCATCATAATGATGGTGGCATGGTGTTTGCTCCCAGATCCAAGAGAAAACAGAGCTGGAAGGGCTGGGTAGTGTGGTGTGATCTTCATCCCACTGCCTAGGCTGGGTTTGGAATGTTGGGTTTGATCTTTTGGGGTCAAGACTGACCTGAAAGCTCCATGAGGTGGAGAGCTATGGATGTCTGCCTCCTGTCCTGTGCTAATGCAGCCCCATAATGGTTGGCTGGATGTGAGAGTGACTCAGGGCTCCAGAGCCCTCCATAGGCCACTGTTGCTGTTTGAGGGAGATGATGATCAGTGTGGTGCATCCTCAAGGCTGTGGGTAGAGGTGGCATGGAGACATGCACCAGCAAACCAGGAGATCACTGTTGGGAGTGCCTGGGAAAGTGGATACTGATGCTAAAATGTGCATTACTGGGGGATCCCTGGTCCCATGGGTGAGGAGGCAGAGTGCTGGGTCCCCACATGTGAGAGCCCTGATCCGCAGGGAGGAGTGGTGGAGGACACTGGGTCTGATGCCTCCAGGACTGGGATGCTCCTGGAGGTGGGTGTCAGTGTTCAGTGCTTCCACCCAGCTCTGTTGAAGGCAGGAAGGATCGGGGTAAGAAAGAACCCCACACCAGTGTGCTGGGATGCAGGGAGCGATGCTGCAGACACCCCATCACCTCCCCACCGGCAGGCAAATGCCAGGGGCAGCGGGGAGGTGGATGCAGGCACAAACCCCTTGCCTGATTGCTGGGGTAAAAGCTGCCTGTGCCACGGCCTCCTCTCCCCACCCCTTCCCCCCGCGCCGGGGCTCTAAATAATTGATAACACTGATAAATAATACATCTTGTATTTGCTCCTTCGCTTTCCTGTGCCGGGGCGGGCACGCTCGCAGCCTGGCGGGGCTGCATTGGGGTGACAGGGATGGGGAGAGCGCGGCTGTTGGGCTGGGGTAGGGAGCTGTGCAGCGGGGAGAGCATTCCGGGGAGATAAAGGGCTGGTTTGATGTGTGTTCATGTGGCGGGGCTGTTTTGCCTTGCATGCCTTTCTCTTTTGCTTTATTTTTTTCCTGGAGTGAAGCCTGGCGCCAGCAGTCTGGAACCAGCCTGACAAGCTTTTGAGTTATGGAAAGGGGGAGGAAGGGGGGAGGAGAGAGAAAGAGGGAGCGAGAGAGGCAGGGAGGAGGAGGGTGAAAGCAGAGGGAGGCAGCTGGGATGTGGATTATTAGGGGAGAACAAGAATACACACAAGAGGCTGGTGGGGTGAGGGCTGGGGGCTACTGGGGCTGGTGGGGAGGGGATGGAGCTGGCTTAGAGCAAACCTTTCAAAGGGGATTTTTCTTTTCATGGGGGGGGGGAAAGGGGGGGAATTGAGTCATTTTGGGCATGAAACGCAAACCTCGCCGCGTCAAGGAACAAGGAAGTTTTTTAAAGCACCAATTAAAGGGCTTGGAGAGGTCCGGGGCTTTTAAACAGCCTTGGGAAGGAGGAGATGGGGAGGGGGGGGCTCCTGGCCAGCGTTCAGGCTGCCGTCCCATCAGGACATTCCTTTCTGCTGAACGCTGCTGCTCCCGGCTCTCTCCTCCTCCTTTTCCAAGCTGCCGTCGAATCCTTTCCAACTCCCGCGTCCGAACCCAGGCAACTTTTGCTCCGTTTCATCTCCCGCCGCCTGCCTCCCCCCAGCCCCGGGCTGTGCTCGGTGCTTTGATCAGCGCTGCCTGCACAGAAACACCCCCCCCCAAGGCCCCTGGGATGGAGGAGCCAGCGTTTCGGCATGGCCAAAATCCCCCTCTGTGGTTGATGGAGCCCCCCCCATCTGCCATCAGCTCTGTGCTTCCCCAAACCGGGAGCTGTAATGCCAGGGGGAAGGAGGGCTCAGTGCCCAGTGATGGGGAGCTGTGCCCCAGAATGGGAGAAGGTGAATGGGGTTGGTTGAGCAGCGTGTTTGGAAAGGTCTCACCCCATGCTTGGGAAAGCCATGCGGTGCCCATGAGGGCTGCTCCAGCGCTACTCCATAGGGATTCATGGTACCAGCTGGAGGCCAGAGCAAATCCACTGGAGAGGGGTTTTGCAGGCAGAGGCTGGAGCAGCTTCCCTCCCAGAATACCCCTTCATTGCCTCCCATGGATGCCCAGCAGCAAGAAGCATAGATGCAAACACAACCTTACTGCTTCAGCCCATCGTGCTTGCCTTTCGGAGCAGGGAGTGAGCCATAGCGTGCCAAGAGCGTTGTGCCTGGGCTCAGCACTGGAAAGGGGATGGGGATTTGGAGCTGCTTTGCAGGGGCTTTGTTTGCTTTGGTTTCAGCACAGCCTATTTAACTCCCAAGACTGGCAAAGGCTGGGGAGACAGGAGCTCTTTGTTAAAGGCTGAGCAGTCCCAGGTCTTAAAGTCAGCCCGGGTGAAGGGCTCGAGAAGTTGAGGTAGCCCAGGGATGGGTGGATTTGGGGATGGGCAGGTTTCACATTGCTCGTACCTCTAAAGCGAAGCGTGAGAGTGAGGGCTCATGCACCCGTCTCCCAAAGCAAAGCCTAGCAGGAGCCCTGCGGAGCACCACCACCATCTGCCAAGTCTTTGTCTTCACAAAGAGGAGGTGGAAGGGGGAACACCCAGCTTTCCGAAACCTCCATTGCAGGTTGCCTGCGAGCTGCAGCTCTTCAGCAAAAACACTTCTTTCTCTGGGTTTCCAGGAAGCAAAATGTTGCCCTCCGCTGTTTGCAGCGTGGTTGGAACAGAGCTCGCTGTGTCCGAGCCTGGCCAGCGCTCTGCTCTGCTGTCACATCCCTGGTGGTGACCTTTGGAGAGGGGCAACCCCTACCCAGCCCATAGATGCTGCAAAGACCTGTGAGAGGTCTGGTCATCCTCTGCTATCCCACCCTGGCACCTCAACATAGGGTGGTTGGCCATGGGTTGGGTTTGGATTGAGGTGGGTCTGCTGAAGACATCCTCACATCTTGTGTAACAGCACCAAGCAGCTCGGTTGTGCTTCCTCGGTCCAAATTCCTCATTTTCTCACGTTTCTTCTCTTTCTCCTTGGCGATTCTTTGAGCTCTTTCTGGTAACTATAGAGCTACACTGGCAAACTTGTCCTCCAGCTCCTCCTTGCTGGAGATACAGCACAGATGGATCCATAATGCAGGTTGTCTTTTACAGACCTCCAACATCTAAGTGTTGGGGGTTCTTAAATCAGTAAATGGAAGGAGTGATTACTCACTTCTGTAGATGTGGAAACTGAGGCACGGGCTACTTATCCAGCTGCAAGCAAATCAGACTTCAGGGCCAGGTGATGTGGTTTCACTTGGAAACCTTTGCTGCATCAGCTTCCTTGGCATCACTTTGAGATGCTGCCAAGAGGGAGGACACCCCTTTCCCCTTCTTCGTGCCTAGGAGGGAGCAGGAGCCGAGGACACAGCCCCGTGGCCCATCCCCAACCCGTGACCTCCCCACCGCTCGCACAGGAGGCAGCAGGCGGAAATAAACCACAATTCAGGGCTGGCAGAGCCGGGGAAGAGCAGGATGAGCCTTGGTGGAGAGCCCAGCCTCACCTTTCATATTCTAATGCCTTGCCTTTGCCTGATTTGTGAGCTCTGGGGAGTCCTGCTGGGAATTCGCTGGAACGGAGGCACACGCCGCCGTCCCTCGGTAAATTACACAGAGATATAATGAAGGAGGAGAAATCAGTTACTCTGTGACTGCGGCTCCCCAGGGGACCTTAATTCAAATATTTGTGGAGCTGAGCAAGTGGGGCGTTGGGGAGCCACCGAGTTGGAGTGTCTCTCGACAGGTTGCTCGCAGGTGGTTGGTGATGGGGAGGCAGCGCATCCGCCCGCAAAGGGCTTTTGGGCTGCTTGATGGTGCTTTGGGTGGCATTAGCCGAGAGGAAGATGCTGGGGGAAGGTGGGACTGTGGTCTGGCTGCGGCTGCATGGAGAATGGAGGTGGGTTCCACCACAACTGGTGGTTGTTGGGATGGGGAGACCCATGCGCCCCTTTGCCAATGGCTATCAGCAGTGTGGGGTGATGTGGGAACCTGCCCACTGCCTGCAGCCGGGCTCTGCATCACCTCACTGATGTCCCTTGATGTCCCCAAGGACAGGGACCTGGGAGGGGACAGCCTGGCCCCTCCTGTGGTTTTCTGAGGGAGAAGCAGGCTTTGCAAAGCCCCACAAGCTCTCTGCTCGCTGCCCATGGGGCCACTGCTTTCAGTAATGACTACAGAAAGGGTTAAGCACTTCGTGGCAGCGAGGAGCAGGCAAACCTCACATTGCTCAACTTAGGAATGAGAAAATCGATTTACCTTCAGCTCCACCACCAGCCCATTCCCTCTGTGTGCCCTCCAGGCAGGCTTTCTGCCCTCTCTCCTCCCGGGGCACGCCAGCGCCATGGACCTGAGAAAACAAATGGGACCCAATTTGCCCAGCCATCAAACTGCACCAGCAAAGGGGGCACAGCCATGGGGGGAGTCACCCCCTTGCTGAATGCATGCAAGACCTCTTAGGTCCCACTTCACCCTGATGGCCAAGGCTGTGGCTCCACCAAGAACCTACCTGGTGGCCTCTTGGCTGTGCTGTGATGCTCTTGGTGGCTGGTTTTGCCCACGCATGGTGAGCTGGGGTGCAGGGTGCTCAGTCCCCCAAGGAGAGCTGGTGGGATGGAGGCTGAGAGCATCTGCATTCACCCAGTGCCTTTCTGCACAAGCATCCTCTTCTCATGCAGGTCCTACATCATCACCCATCACTCAGCAGTGATGCTGCTACCAGGAGTTGTGCACACAAATGTGAGAACATGCAGATATACCCCCTGTCTGCACCCACTCCTCACATGCCCATTCCCATGTGCTCCAGCTCTCCTGCTCCCAACCGGCCTCTCTGCTCTTGTGCTGGAATCACACCCCAAGTGTGTGACAGTTTTGTCTCCGGATGCTGGGAGCACCACATGTGATGGAGGCAACCCCACACCGACCAACCCATCCTCACCCCACGTCCTGCCACCACCACCAGCATCCTCCCTGCAGCCCCTTGCATGCTCATCGCCTTCGGGGCCGCATGCACACACAGCCTTACGGATCTGCTGCACGCCAACTGTTGGGAAGGGGAAGGGAAAAAAACCTATGGATTCAGCCGAGAGAGAGGTTGGAGAGGGGGGGAAAGAGAGAAAGAGAGAGAATGACAGACTGCAATCCCCCTTGAGTGCCTAGTCTCATGAATATTAATAAGGTGGTAATTAAAATGCAGGGACACAGCAGGACGGATGCAGGCGCTGCCTTCGGAGCGCTGGGAACGGGGGGAGTGCGTCTTTCCAGGCAGGTTTTGATTCCGTTCTCTGATGAAAAGAAGAAAACGGAGCCTTCAACTTTAATCAGTTTAGAGGTTTTTTGACACGACATATCTTTAATTGCTGAGATTTCTGCTCCTCTCAAACCCGGCTCCACCGGCTCCAGTGTAAGCAGAGATAACGAACCGCGCTCCAGTGCCGTGGATACAGCCCGCATTTACACCTCAACTTGTTTGCTACTTTCCTGGGGTGTCACCTCTTTGCCTGGGGTTGCAAAGCACAATCCTGCTGCTCCTTGTCTCTGCAGCCAAGGCAGGGGCTGCAAGTGCAGCTCGGCATCTCTTTGTCTGACACCCCCCTTTCAACCTCCGCTGCGGCAGCCTTAGGGAAACCTGCTCTTTTTGGGTGGTAAATCCCTTTTCTTATGGCTGTATGGTGAGCTTGGAGTTGGGCATGATGCTACCCGGTTTGAGTGATGGGGATGGAGACTGGGTTGGGTTGAGTCAGTTTGGACTGGGTAGAATTGAGCTGGGTTGGAAAGCAGGTCTCCTGAGAAGAGTAATGTAAGAGTAGAGGTAGCTGTTGGGCTGCTGAGTTATTAAGGAAGCTTAAATCTCCCTCAATAACCAGGGTTTGGAGGTTGGGTGAAGGTCCTGTGAGGGATGCTCTGTGAGCAAGGTGAAACAAAGTGTTCATCCTTCTTAGAGAAGGTAGCTCCTCCAGTGGGTCTGGCCCATTGATGGGGTACCATGTTGCTGGGAAAATGAATGGAGAGCATCGGTTGGTGCACAAAGAGAACATTCTGGGTGTGGGAATTGGATGATGTCAACCCAGAACAGGGATTAGGAGGCAATTTCTGGCAAAATGGAAAATAATGTAAGAAAGAATCCATACTATACCCCAAAGCAGTGTAAGTGGTTGTGCTGGGTAAAGCCAGAACGTTTGGTTTGGCCTGAAAGGGTTTTGGTTTGTTATGTTTGGGGGTTGCCTGATTTTAATGAGATCTCTTCATTTACATGGGGGTCACTTTTTGAACTGAAAAAAGACAGATTTGGGGGAATGAGAAAATCAAAATGATTCTTTTAGAAAATGCCCAAATACAACAATTCATCCTGAGAGGGGGAATGAGATAGCCTGAGATCTTCAAAGCCTCCTCCCCTGCCCAACGCAGGTATATTTCCCTTTTTCACTTCAAACACTTTCCCAGCTTCACCCTGAGTTTCAGGATGATTCAGCCTCTCTGAATCTTCCAGTTGGTGATCAATCCACTATTCCTCAGAGCCAAGCAACCACGATCTCCGTCAGCTCTTAGATGAGAGTAAGCAGAGCACAAGTCCCTTTCAGCCCCATCACTGGTGCCTGCGTGCCAGGGTTAGAGTTGGCCATGGAAAGACATCCCATGTTTGCTGGGCAGTGCAGACTCTCCTAGATCACAGATGGAGGATAAAGGTTTGGCCCCACATTGGAGGCAGTGCGTTACCCAGAGAGCAGCTGTGATGCTTGAGGGAGTTGCTGTGATGTGGCTGTTGGCTCCTGCATCCTCCTGGGTCCAGAGGTACATCCCAGGAGGATCTCCTGGCCTTCAGGCTAAACTGCACTCCTGCACTCCCATTCCTCTCTCCCAACCAAGCTTTGGAGCTTTTTCTCCGCTGGGAACGTCTCCTTGTGCTTTGCTGACCTGCCTGTGCAGGGAAATGGAAAAGGAGAACTGCAGCATCTTGGAGCCCTTGAGATTTTGTTGCCTGGTGAGGAGGGTCGGGGCTGTTTGTGTAACAGGGTCTTTTCCATCATATGTCTTTCCATAGGGATGGGGGATGCCCTTATCTACCAGGGGCTGCAGTGGGTTGGGTGTCCTGGGCTCTGGCCCCTAGTCCTTGGTGTCCTGCCCCACAGCAAGGAAGCAGTTCATCCACCTGTGGGCATTACTGGATTCAACTGCTGCATCCATTTTCTTGTTGCTCTGATTTTCCTCATCTGGGACAAATAATTCCTTGTGTGGAGGGATGGCTGATGAACCGGGGTGTTGGGAACTGAACTGAATTCCTTGGCTGGAAGAGCACTAACCCAGCTAAAGCTCTTTGCTGAGCACTGGCTTTCTGGGACACTTCCATGAGCCATTCCCCTGCAAAGGAGAGGAACATATCCCTTCTGCAAACCTGTCCCATGGTGGCTCTGAGCACCCACAGGACCTCACTGGACCACTAAAATGGGTCCACGTGATGGATCAGCACAATACCGACTCCTCTGCTCTCATACCTGGTGAGCTGAAACTGGGGTTGAACTGCCACAAAGCCAGTGGGCCTGTGACCAGTCTTTGGGTTGTAATGGGTTTAATGCCTTTTGTTCTTGCTTTTAATAGATTGGGTGCCATGGCTTGGGGTTGGAGCTCTCCTCCCAAGCAGGCGATGCTGAGGCAGTGGCTGTTCAGCTGGCTTTCCTTGGCCATGCTGGAGCTATGAAATGTGAGGATGTGCTGGAATCCATCAGGGACCACGGCACACAGAGGGGACAGGCAAAAAAAACCATTTCTGTTGTTTTGTCGATGGGTTTACTCTCTTCTTCTTCTCCTTCATCCTCTTCTTTCTCCTTTCCTGCAGTGCTACAGCAGCGGATGTGAAGCAGGACAAGGGGAAGGTCTACCAAGTGTCTGAGCCCCGAACTTCCCACCACTGCCATCCAGTCTGTGCTGAAAAATCCTTGGGAATTACCAGGTTTGCCCCATCGGTGGGTGACAGGGCTGGGTGGCAGGGACAGCAAGGGCAGGAAGGCAAAACCCTGTGGTGGATGGAGGGAGAAGACAGGGGCTGTGCTGTTAACAGAGGATTGAGGTGGTGAAACACGACCGGGACCTGCTGTCTCCTGTGGCGAGCTGGGGCTTGGCCATGAGGAGCATGAGAGGGAGGGTACAGGATGGGCCCCAGGTACCGCTTCCTGGTGACACCCCTGCAGCGGTCCCAGTCACCCCTGAGTCACATCCTGCTTGCGCTGGCTCCTGTCTCATCCTGCTGCCTGCAGTTTCTCAATCCCAGTGTTTCCTGGCTCCTGAGGTTGCTGCAGGGCCCATGGGGCTGGAAGGGATGGGGGGGGGAGAGCTCCAATGCATTGGGGCAAAGTGTCCTTGCTTGCTAAGGGATGGTCAGTGTCCTGCTTCTGTCCTGCCATCTCTTGTTTCATCCCATAACGTGAGGGGCCAAAGGGGCTCTGCTGTGCATCTCCTGGTGCACAAGGGCTCACATGTCCCCCACACATCCATCCCGCTGCCTCAAGCCCTGTAACCGGGGCAGAAAGCTGAGGTGGGAGTGAGATGATGCTTATTCCCCTCCTCTCTCTCACCCCGAGCAATGGCTCTGCAGGGATGCCTGTGAGAGCCGAGCTGGGGCTGTGTGAGCCAGGAGCCCAGTCTGACTCTGCAGTCCCATGCTCGGGTCCTGCAGAGAAAACAAACACTGAGCCCCATCCTGTTTCACAGCAGAACTGCCATTTAAGGGAGGATTTGGAGAGGAGACATCTTCCTCTTTCATATTCCTTCTTGCCAGTGCAACCCTCTTCCCCTGGCCTAAGCTGGACCCACTCTATGGAGCATCCCAGCAGCTAAAGGGTCATCCCTGATGCAGCTTCCCTGTGCTCTCCTGGTCCCGGCTTTGTGCCCCGTGCCCCTTCCTCCTCCCCAGACCCATCTCCACACAATCTGGGCTTACAGCTCACCCACCATCGGGCTCCAGGAAGGTAGTATCCTCCTTTGGGATGGTTTGTGCCGTGGCACGGAGCTGAACCAGCCAACACAGGGGGTTAGCTGAGCTGAGCAGTGCCTATGGGGTGCCAGGCTTAGGATTCCTGGCCTTGCAGGACTTATCAAGGGGAGTCTGTGGCAGAGCAGGAGATGCTTCATTACACCAATGAGTGAAGCCTTGGGGAGGGGGGATCACCTCTTACCTCTGCCACAGCCTTTCTGGGATAACCTTGGTCAATGCTTTGCACTTTGCTTGTCCTGCAGTAAAGCAGAGCCATGGCTCCAGCTCCTTCTGTGCTGCTAAATCTGTGCTGGCAAAGGGGGGGCACGCAGGGGGTCTGTGCAAACACCAGCTTTTTTAGCACCAGGGTTTAGCCATGGGAACAGAGAAGCTTTTGCTTGTTACCCACGTGTGACATTGCTTTTGCTTGCAGCTTCCTGCCCACTGTGATAAAGGAGAAGCTGAGTCCCAGCACTCAGCAGAGGGTTGCTGGCTCCTGCCAGAGCTGCACTGCAGCAGGGCTGAGCCACAGCTCCCCATGCCCAGGGCTCTCCCCATGCTCCTCAGGGCTGTGGGGCTGGAGCTGTGGGTCCCACTATGCTCCCCAAGCACTGTTATGACCCCCAAGCAGCACTGTGTCATACCCACCTTCCACCCTCACCTTGCACAGAGGCCTGTGATGAGTTGCAGGGCGCATCCATGGCTGGGTGAGTTGCTCCCGTGAGCCAACCCATGGGGACTGCTGCACCTGGGGTGCTGCGTTTCACCTTGCATGGCCTAAGGAATGGCAGGACACCTCTGAGTGAGCCCACAAGGCTTACTGCACCCATGTGGGGCTCGGTGCTGGGACTACCACTCACCATGGCGTGCTGGCAACGCGCATCCCTCCTCCTCCATCACCCTCGGGCCAGCACCCAAGGGAGCATGGCTGCACAGGGACCCAGCCTGGGGGTGCCGGGTGATGGAGGAAGGGTCTCTCCTCTCCTTAGGGGGGGAACGTCCGGTCTCTCCGCTCGCTCCCTCCAGGCCAGGCAATGGTTAAATTCCTTTCCAGCTGAGCTGGCAAGCAGAGCCCGAGCATATTAGTCAGATCCCTGTAGGGGGTGGGGAGGAGGAAGGAGAGAGCAGCGAGGAGGGGCCGGAGCAGAGCCGGGAGCGGAGCTATTCTCCGGGGCGCGAGTGCAGGGAGGCAGGCACAGCAGGGGCTGCGCTTCCCAGAAACTTGATTATTTTTAACCCAGGAAGAAGAAAGGAAGGAAAAGGGGGGGGGAGGAGGGGGTAAATCTGCAGGAACTGGAAAACAGGCCGTTGGCATTTGCAGAGCGATTTGCAGAGGGCTGCGAAGGCGAGAAAGGGCCCTGCGTGATGCGGGGATGCCCCGAGTGGTCCTGGTGCGGCGGCAGGGACGGGATGCAGCGGGGTCAGGGCCGGCTGTGCCCGCAGAGTCCCGGCTGCCCCTTGTGCCTTCACCAGCTCCATCCTCTCCCGGCACATGTCTGCGTGCTCGGGGAGCAGGATGCGGCCGGTTTCCCCCGCACACAAACAGGGCACGTACACAGGCGGCTGTGGCTTCCTGGATCCCTGCTTGGGAGCTTGGGACCGCGGCTGGTTCAGGGAAGAGGGGAGCACAGAAGGGGCCTGACAATGGGCACATGTGGGAGGCTTTGGGGGCTGCGTCTGTGCAGGGTTGGGTCTCAAGTTGCTTTGAAACACAGGCGAGGGAGGGACACTTGGGGTATCACAGAGAAGGCAAGGTTCTCCTTCTTGCACTGCCTCATTGCTTTGGTGGAGTCCAGCATCAGGGAACGGCAGGGAGGCCTCAGTGGCAGCCCCACTGCATTCCATGGCTGTGTTTGGTCTGTGGTACAAAGCCCTGGGGTGGGAGTTTGGAAGCCCTGCAGTTGGCAGAGCTTTGGGGAAACACCTCCCCAAGCTCTCCAGCCTTGTCATGTTGCAGGTCCCCGTCATGGTCCCCTGAGTCAGGGCAGGCTGGCCAGAAGTTCCCTGTGAAGGTCAAACACTTTATGTCCCAAGCTCACAAGATGAGGACCCACCACTGCTCTTACCAAGGCCTTTATGGTTTTCATTTCTCTGCAGCACCCACACTTGTTGGAAGCTCAGCATCCTCCATGGCTGGAGCATTGCAAGCCCTGGGTGCAAGGTCCCCTTGCTGGAGATGGAGACACCACCCCAAGATGCAGAAGTGATGCCGCTGTAACAGCCTGTGATGGAGCTCAGCACCGTGGTGCTGGGAGCCGAGGGCACTGCTGCAGCAGGAGGGTGATGGGAGATGTGATCATCACCAGGAAACAGCATTGGCTCTGCAGACACACCATGGCCAACCAAGGTAAACCAAGGGGATGAGTCCCTCCCCAGGCAGGTTTTGCCATCCTGGTCCTCTGTGGGACTTCTGCTGCCATCTCCTCTGGTCTGTCAGATCCTGAGCGGGGCTGATTTCATCCACAGAGCAACATCAGTGACATGTACCCAAGGAAGGAGGCCTTGGTTTAGCAGGCATGATCAGACCTGGCCAAAGAATGGACATTGTTCCCCAAAGACAGAGAGGGTGCAAGGACCCTCGTGTGGGCTCAGCACCTCTCAAACTAGATCCCACAGTGGCAGAACATGCCAACTGTTTGGCTTTTACACAAAACCCCCTTTTGACAGAGGTACCCCTGATCTGAGGGCTCCAAGTGGGGTTTACAAAGGGTATTTGCTGTCTTAGACCCCCGGGCAGTGTTGACCAAGCTGGAAGTGGGGAACTTCTCCGTTGCCATCCAGGATCACTAGTGAGGAAAATGCATCCAACCCGCTGAGTATCCCCTGGTGCCTCCTTTCCAAGCATTAAAAGTGCTAATTAAACCTGAGCTGAGCTCTGGCATCTGCAGGGATCAGCTGCCTTTCCCATCAGACTGGTCCTGAGCCTCTGCGGGGCCAGTCCCTGGTGCCATCCACCAGTGGGGCTCTGTGCACCCTAAGTCTGAAGATAGGTGATGTTGGGGATAAGTCCAATGGGGCTCATCTGCACGACAGCCCCGCAGACAGTGGGGTGGCATCATCACCACCTCCAAAACCCTGGGTACGGTAGAGATAGGGCACACGAGCTCTCCTCCCGACCTCTTCCCCTCCGAGGTATTTGGAGCTGGGCACGGGGTGGTGCTTCCAGCGGATGGCAGGAATTCCTGACTCTCTGCCAGCTCTGGGTGTTAATTCCCTCCTGTGAGGCTCGGCCGCATCCCAGACCTCCAAAGGCACAAAAGGCCCTTAGAGGGCAAAGGGCTTGCGAGGGGCAGGGGTAACTGCCCCAGTGGGGGTGAGGAAACAGGATGGAGGAGAGGAGGGATGATTTTATCGCTGTGATTTCGCATGAGTGACCTCCCGTCATTTCCTGACCCCCAAGGGAACCAGAGAGCTGCCAGAGCAGCGTGCATCAGGGTCCCCAAGCAGAAGGTCCCCATCTCTATGGGCCGCATCCCTGTTGCTCAGAGGAGGCGTGCTGATCCCCAGGCTCTGGTGATGCTGAGGTCTCTGACCATCTGCCACTGGCCTGGGGAGCAGCTCCATGGGCACCCACAGCCCAGTGCTGCCTGCTGGGGAAGCTCCCCCTCCACCAGGCACCTCCCCAGGGCTCCCCAGCCCTGCACCCCATAAATGGGGCTTGCAGGGAGCGCTGAGCTCAGCGGGTGCACCCCAAAACCAGCCAAGGACCCGGGGATTGGGCCGGGAACTGCTCACACACCGTGGCCACCTCGCTCCAAGCAAGCTCTTTGCTCCCTCTCACTGTGAGGGCACCCAGGGCTGGGGGCTTGGGGTGATGGAGGACCCTCCGAAGAGCCCCTTGTGCTGGAGGGAGCCCAGCTCTGTGCCGGCAGGGTAGGGTTTTTTCTTCCTCGCTCTTTGTTAAGCTCCCTTTCAGCTGAAATGGCAATGCCTGGGTGTTCTGAGCTGACAATAATTGCTGCAGTCTAGACACTGTCTGGTATGAGGCAGGGGAATCAAAGAGGCCCCTTCTCTCACTGCGACTTTCACACATGCTCCCTCGCTCGGGCTCCTTCCTTCTCCCTCTCCCATGTTCCCTTGGTCTTTGCTGCCTTCTTTTTTTTCCTCTCCCCTTGCTCCCCTCTATCTGCCTCTCGCAGAGATGGAGGAGAAGCGTCAGCATCTTCCCCCCCACGCTCTCCCTCTCTGCCGTCTGTTCCTCTCTCCCGCTCCCCCTTCTCCCTCGCTTGCTCCTTCTCTCATCTGTCTCCTCTCTCCTTCCTCCACTCTTACCTTTATGCTATTCCCTTCCTCCCAAAGTTAGCAGAGAAGCAGGAGGGGGGGCTGGCAGTGCTGGGAAGTTAACTCCTTCCTTGCCCTCTCGCAGGCTCTCCTCCCCATCCAGCTCCTCACTGGGGCCCGGGGTGCCCTGGCTGCTTTGGGGCACTGGGCTCCTCTCTGCAGCCCAACCCCATGCTGGGGCTGTGGCATCAGCTCTATGAAGGGTTTAGTCGGTGTCTGTCAGGGTTGGTCTTGGTTGATGCAATGTGGCTGGGATGAAGGGGGCTGATGCAAACACCTTCCCCGCACTGGGAACCGAGGGGAGGATTGCCTTTGCTCTCCCCTTGCCGTGAGTGACTGTATCCTTGGGGATGTAGGTTGCTCCTTCCAGTGCTGTACCAAACCAGAAGGAGATGGGTTTTTCCACCCACCCAGACCTCAGAGCAGCTTGCTGTGCTGCGAGAAGGGGAGATTAATCTGAGCTCACACATGGGTTGCAGCAATGCTGCTGCCTTAGGCTGAGCTCAGCCACCCTGGCACTGCCCCATGCCTGCTGTGGGCTCTGGCCAGGCCGTGTCCCACTGGCATTTCACTCAGGAATTAGGCCTTTCTGCTGTAATGCTGCTAACAGCTCATTTCTAGCTCACCCCTGGACTCCTATTGACCTCCGATCCCTGTGCAAAAGACACTTCTGTAAAGCTCAACAGAGAATGCCAAGTTTTGGTTAATGTGAGATCTCATTGCAGAGAACACACCAGAAATGCTTTGACAAGGGAGGAAACTGAGGCAAAAGAGAGGCCGTGAGCCTGAGGGTACAGGCTGCTGAGGGCAGAGCTGTGTGGGACCACTCAGTCCCCCCTATAGGACCCAAATTTAGGGCCACACAATTGGAAGCCATCCTTGGGCACGAGCGAGCAGCTCTCTGTGACCTCCAGCATCTCGGTGCTGCCGTGCTGCTTGCTTACCACGGAAAAGTCACATTAGGAAAGTATGTGATGTATTTTTAACTGTCTATAATGCAATTTAACAGCTGGAAAGGAGGAAGAAATCCAACCCCATGCAATCAGCCAGATCTGTGCTGTCCACAAGCGAAGGCTCGGTGGACTCCAAGGGTGTTTTGGTCTGGTTGGAGACCTTGTTTGGGAAAAGGGCAGGAAAACAACCTCATCCTTGAGACAGGCTGTGGCTCAGGGAAGGCAGGGAGCACAGGATGGAGGCCAGAGGACCCAACAGCTCCCAGCGTGACACTCTTGTCCCCAAAAGCCACTGTGCTGCCTGCATCTGTAGATGCTGCTTCCCCAAAGAGCTGGGTGTCTTGGCTGCGCTTCAGCATTGGGATTCTTCGCATGCTCTGGCAACGAGGCTTTCAGTGGAGGTTTCTGGGAGCCAGGCTCTTCTAAACATCTGCTCCGCACTGGAGGCAATAACATGGGATGCGTTGGCCCCTGCTGTCCCCAATCCGAGGTTCCTGCGGTGCTTCCATGGCTGGATTTGCTATGGAGATGGGTCCTGCTCTCCTGCACCACCACCACCCTCCTTCCCCAGGGCAGGGAGGGCTGCATCTCCCCATCCACCCCTCCAGCCAACCCCTAGCACCTTCTGCTGTGTGCGGGGAGGGAACATGGCAGGGCTGGAGTGGGAACAGGATGCTCATGGCCTCCCGCCTTCCCTACTCGTATCCTGGGGCAGCATCTGCATCCTGTGCACTGAGATCCGGGGGCTGAGGGGTGGAAACAGCTCCATGCCATCTGGGTAGGAATGCTCCTCCACCACCAGTAATGGGTCTCTAATGGAGCTGATCCTTAATGGGGACCCTGTGTGGGATGGGAGTTCTTTGGCAACAGTAGTAGGGCTTATTTTACAGATCATTTCTAGCCCAACCCTGGACTTCTATTGACCTCTGATCCCTGTGCAAAAGGCTCTTTTTCCATAAAGCCCCATAAAGAATGCCAAGTTTTGGTTAATCTCAATGCAGAGGGCAGACCTGGGGTGTTCTGGTTGGTTTGCTGCCTCCAAACAGCTGGATGTTTTAGGGGGGCAAGTGTGCTGCCATCACTGATGTTATTCCCCTGTGCTTATCCTCCAGGACTTCTCCCAAGCATAGGCCCCAAGACATAGAGGAAGAGACTGGCTCCAGCCCCATCCCAGGGGACACCCCTGTGGCGAGGCCCATGTGAGGAGCAGTTTGGGGGCTGGAAGCTGCTGGCAGCTGGTTCCTATATTCAGGCCTTTACACACACACACACAGAGTAAAATCAAGCCATGGGATGGGGATGGGGCTCAGTGGTAGGGGGGGCTCTGGTGAGCACTCAGAGGATGTAGGACCTGGCAATGCTCAGAGCTGCTGCTGTCTGCACACCTTTAGAGGGGGTGATGTGAAGTTGGATGGATGGGGGGTGTCTCAGTGGGCAGAGCATCGCTGGGCTTGGAAAGGGCTGACAGTGGGAGAGCAAGGGGAAATGCAGGCACAGGGAAGGGAAGCAACTCGCTGAAGGTCATCCCTGGGCCAGCAGCAGAACCAGGAATAAAATCCAGGTGTGCTGAGCTGGTCCTGGGGTTGTATTCACACATGTGCTCGTGTTAACACTGCTGTCCCCAGGCAGGAGCTGCTCATGGTAGAAGCAGTTTCCTAAAGGCACTGGAGCCATGCCACAGGCTGCAGGGCTGGTTTGCATCTTAAACAAAGAGAGGTCTGGGTATTTGGGGTCTCCTTTTCCCTCCCAGCATCTTCCAAGCCCTGCTGGGTAGATAAGGAATGCTGTTGGATGCTGGCTGATAAGGCAGAGTGGCTAAAAACACTGCCTTTATTTGGAAGCTTATCTCCAAATCCTAATGAAAACAGACACAGAGGGGAGCCGGGGACAGCAGAGAGGGAGGACTCACACCCCAGCACTGCAGGGACCGGGATGGGTGATGCTGAGCAAGGGGATCTGGTGGGGTTTGGAGTCTGAGTGACTGCTGCATATGGTGAGGGTGAGGTTTAAAAGCTTTGGGGCAAAACCCAAGGAACCAGGGCAAGACCGTTGGGTGCCAAGAGCCTGCAGGGTCATCCGTGGTCCCCTCCGAGCACCCCGAGTTGGGGATCCTCTGTAGTTGGTTCTTTTTCCTTTAGTAAGGGGCTCGGTGAGGAAGGAAAACCTTGAAACCAAGGAAACAGGGGAGACAAAAAGGGAAATGTCAGCTCCTGCAAGGCAGAGTGAGCTGGCTCCAGCACCCTGGGGTGAGGGTGGGTGCTGCCCCTGCTGCCCTGAGCCCCCCTCCATGGCTGGGGGCAAGAGGGTGACCAGGGTGCGATGCACTAAGGTGAAAGGAAGGTTCTGAAGGGTTCTGAGCTGCTCAGGAGGAGACTGCTCTGGTGCAAGAGGGATGGTGGAGGAGGTGAGCAGAGGTTTTAGGGGGTGCTGTGAGTCAGGGAGCAGCTATGGCGGGCTCAGCAATCCCATAAGGAGCTGGACTTTCCAGACAACAAAATGATACACCCAGACCCAAACTTATGGGGTAATGATGCTGGTAAAACAGGGGATGAGATGTGTGTGTGTGTGTATGTAGTCATGGCTGTGCCAAACCCCATAAATCACAGCGGTGTGGAGCGAAGCTCCATCGAAGGAAATTTCCTCCTTGGAATATTGGGATATTTCCCCTCAACAACCTCAGTTTTCCACACCAAGCCATAGAGAGGTGGGATCTTGATTACAGCAAGTCCAGAACCTGACCATGGAGCCTGGTGTCACGCCGGAGGGGTTCAGTGCCCTTGCAGCCCACGGTGATGGGGTTGATCCAGAGCAGTGCTAAGGACTTAGGGATGCGCACCAGCATCACCCCATCCGTTTCTCTCGTTCCCCACACCCGTGGCCATCCATGCAGGCCCAGCTCGGCGGTGCTGGGGGAGTGTAAGCTGATATTTCCCTGCGCGTCCCCCCGAGGGTTTTTTCCATTACAGAGGCAGAGCGGAGCCGCCGCTCGCCGGTTCCCCCCCCCCCTCCTGCAACCTCTGGCACCGCTTTTTCCAGCGGCACATTGTGCAAATGTAACCTTTCAGCGAGCCGCTCCTACGGCAGGAAGCCGGGGGGCTCCGCTCCTGCCAGGAACGCAGCCGGCGCGGAGCTGGAAGGCAGCCCGTTAATCAGAGCCGGCTGACAGCGAAGCACACATCCTGGGCAACAGATCCCTGCTCCCTCTCCATCGCCTCCCCGCTCCTGCGCGCTGCAGCGATGCGCTCTTGCCCTGCATCCCGCCCGCTTCCACAGCCTCATCCCTCTTCCTGACCACCGGGATCGTGCCCCTCCTCTCGCCGTGCCAAGCGGGAGGTGCCCACGCTGCTTGGTGTGAAGCCAGTTGGGGACCATGAGGAGGGGATTGGATTGGTTGCACAGAGCAATGGCAACCGTGCCAAGACATGCGCTAGGGCATCATGCCCGTCGCCGGGTGGGATGCTCAGGGATGCTATGCTGGCACATACGGTGCTCCCCAGGACACTGAACAGGGTCCCCCATGCAATGACCCCTAGCCAGGGGCTCCCTATGACACTGTGGTTGGGGGTCACCATCATGTTCCGCTTGCTTTGAGAATGGTGGCAGCACTTTGAGGCAGCGCCGTGGCCACCTTTTGCCTGCTGTAGAATCCAAATGGGAGCTTTTATCTCCCACATGGGCAGCAGGGATCTCAGAGGGGGCTTCTCCTCCATTTGTGTCCTTCTTTGGGCACACCAGCACGTCCACACCAGTGGTGGAAGCCACTGCCCCTTGGGAAGGGTTTATCTCTGTCTCATGTCCATGGGGCCACAGCAGCTCATTGCAGCACAGTAGGGCTCAGTGTGGTATCTTGGGTGTGCAGGGCTTGGCAACCTCCCTCCAGGCTGAGTCAGAGCTCAAGACACCCAGGGCTGCATCCCCAGTGGATGCATTGGCCGAGGTGATGGTTGTTGGTGGTGCCAGCTTGGGTGGTGCTCCCCAGGTGCCAAACGCACCCTGGTGCACAGGTAAAGCCCAGTGAGGAAAAGAGGGTTGAAGAAACCCAGTTGTTGCTTTTACCCATGCAACAGGCTCCCTTTGGTGCCGGAGGAGTGCAGGGCAGCACTGGTGTCCAGCACCGCTGCACTCTTGCTTTGGGCTTGCCAGGAGTGAAAGGCCACTGAAAATGGTCACATCCAGCTCGGTTCCTCCCCAGCTGCTCCCACCCCTGCAGGACCAAGTGCTGAGGCTTTTTCTGCCTCTTGGGAGCACCAGGGATCCTTCCAAGTAGGAAGTTGCTGTGACTTTGGGGCAGGATTTATCCCCCTTCTAATTGCAAATGGATAGACATCAACCATCTAAGCAAGGAGGAGGGTTCCTGTGCTCACAGGCATGGCCAAGCAGAGATGCAGGGGGCACTTCATCCACTCCTGGGATGGGTTTTGGCTGAGGATGAGGGGTTTGATTATTGGAGCCTGCCTATGGGTGCGAGGACTCTTCCAACCACCCTCAGGCTCATCCCTGGCCCGGTTGATGGGGCCGGCGCTGCAAACCCTGCCTGTGTTTCTCATGTCTGATTTCTCCCCAGGTTCAATGCGCTCAATGTGCTGCATTGTAGCATCTGTTTTTGTGGTATTTCCAGCCCAGCTGGAAGCAGGAGGCACTTGAAATTCAGAGATGGGGGGGAAAAAATAACAGATCTGGTGAGATTCTGTCTTCCTGCCAAATTCACCAAACCTGGGATGCGGGGAGAGCCCTGCCGCAGGCGCAGCATCCAACGCTTCCCTTCTTCCTTGCTTCCTGCTCATCCCAATCCATCCTCTCATTCCTAACTCACTTCCAGGACGCTGCACAAAGCCTGACCCTGCTGTTGGAGCTGGGGACGAGCAGATAATGCAGTCACTGAATGTATTTCACCTTTTCCTCTGGTTGCGGATTGTCCGGGAGCAGATGGTGATTTTCTCAAGTGTATCCGTTATTCGAAGTCACTCACTGAGACAGCGATGGCTCAAACAAATCCCAGGCCCCCTGCAAAGCCATCATTTGGTCTTCCCATCTGCCCAGCCGCCGCTGCCGCCGCATGCCGGAGGGAACTGGGAAGCAGGAGAGCCCCTGGATGGGGTCAGCGCTGCACCTACCCCTTCATCCCTCAGCAGAGCCCATGGAGTGCAAAGCTCCGCTCTGTGAGGAGCGGTTGGGAGCCACATCCCAGCTTTGTTTAGGGGGTTTTAGGGCTGCGCTGGCTTGTTCACACAGTGCCTGCCTGTGCCAGTGCTGGGGTGAGGGGAACTCACTGGGAGAGTGCCCAGTTACAAACTGGGAAGCTGCTTCTCGTGAGAAGATGCCAGGGGCTGTTTCTGCCGCACCTCCCTGCCTGGTGGGGAGGAAATGGGTGCTTTTAGGGCTGTGAAACACCAAAACAGCCCCGGGAGACCTCATGTGGTCCTGGGGACCCACAGGCTGGTGTCAAAGGCAAGGCTGGAGGCAGCCGGGGTTTGTCCATGCAGGGACGTGCCCAGCTTTGGGTGATGGACTTGACAAAGGGACCTATGGGAGCAGCCTGGATCAGTGCCCTCCCAGTGCTGGTGGCACCTTGGTGGGAAGCATGGACAGGTCCATGCGGGTTGGCCTTTGCCTGGCCAGCTTCTGCCAACCTCTTTTGGTGCCTCTGAGGGGACCTGTGTGCCCGCAGCTCTGCTCTGGGTGCTCTGGGAAGGGGCCAGGAGCAGGTTTTGATCCAGCACCAGGCTAACACCATCCCTTCAAATACCAACCCAGTGTACGTGTGAGGATGGAGAGGAATGGGGAGGAACACGGGAGTCCCTGGAGCTGGGGCATCCTCAGCTTAACCCACCCAGAGACAGTCTAAGCCGAGGGAATGCTCCCGCAGGGATCTGCTCCCTTCTTCTGCCTGGATTTGCCTTTTCTTAACTTCCCATCTTCTCTTTTTCCCTCCCAGGGGTATGAGGCCACACCGAGGGCAATGGGGGGCTGCAGAGGCTTCACTTTGAAATGCAGTTTCCTTTCCCCTCTCCACCTCCCCTGAGCTAAACAAATACCCCCCGGCTGGGAGATGCCTCCTGCATCCCACAGGCTTTTGTTCCCAGGCTTTTGTCCAGGCCTGGGGAAGGGGCCAGGACCCCCATTCTCACCAGGGACCCCCATCTTTAGGGTCCTGGGATGCTGAGGGGGAAGGAGGAGGTGAGAGCTGGCTGTGCCCCTGGCCACTTTAATTGCGCCCCATGGAGGAATCATTTCAGTTCGTTGTTTTGTGGGGTAAAAGGTTGGTGGATAAAACCCCTATAAAGGCTCCAACAACCCCAATGTGACCAAAGAGACCGGTCTTTGGTCAGCCTCAAACCCCATCACTGCCACTGAATCCCTTGCTCTGTGCAAAGGGAACACCTCAATTGACTCAAATCGAAGGTGAGGCCCAAAATGAACCCACTGGAAACCAAACCCCAGCTTTGCCCTGGAGCGAAGCATCTCTCTGGTGAGTGTGGAGGATAATGGGGTTGTTTGAAATGCCCCTGTTCCTGCATCACAACAGGAAAATAAATACCCTTTGTTATTATGGAGGCTGTGGAAGTGTCCCTGGGATGGGCAGAAACCATTTGCCCAGCCTCATAGCTCCCTTCATGCCCCTCGCCCTACAGGGCCAGGCGGCCCGTGCTGGTCCAGCTTCTCCAATGCCTGCAGCCAGGGGTGTGCAGAACCTTTCCAGGCAACAAAAGCTGCCTCATTACCCGCTGTTGTCCACCATGGCCACATTATCAGGAGGTGGAAATGGCCTCAGGACACCCTGACCCCAATCCCTGGGGTGAGAAATGGTTATGGATGGGGGGCAAAGGGTGAAACCGGGGGGTGTGGGGTGTGGAGGGTGTCCCATCGTGCATGGGGAAGCTCCCTTTTCTCCCAATGGTGTCTCCATTACATGCAACAGGGTGGGCGAAACCTCCTTGGGGAGCAGCTTTGGAGCTGACATAAGCACCAGGACTTCATCACCTTGAGATGCTGAGCACCGGGATGCTGAGCTCTGGGATGCTGAGCCCAGGGATGCTGAGCTGCAGGATGCTGAGCCCTGGGATGCTGAGCCCTGGGATGCTGAGCTGCAGGATGCTGAGCCCTGGGATGCTGAGCTTCAGGATGCTGAGCCCCGGGATGCTGAGCTTCAGGATGCTGAGCCCTGGGATGTTGAGCTTCAGGATGCTGAGCCCCGGGATGCTGAGCTGCAGGATGCTGAGCCCCGGGGTGCTGAGATGCAGGATGCTGAGCCCCGGGATGCTGAGCTGGGATGCTGAGCCACGGGGCGAGCGGAAGCTGCTGTGGGAGAGCAGCCCCAGCGCTGTGCCTGTCACCCAGACAAGAGATCAATAACTAATTTCAGTGCAGCAGCAGCACAGGGCTTTTTCCAATAATTGTGAGGCAGCGGTGGGGAATGAGGCTCTGAGCCCCGCTCCGCTCCCGATCAATGCCCGCGCCGCTGGGCCAGCAGGAAAACTCATTTTTCTCCTTTTCTTCCCTCTCTCCCGCCTCCTCCTGCTCCATCCCTCTTCCTCCTAATCCCAGTGTGGCGCTGGCTGAGCCCAGGGCTGTGTCCTCCCGCCGGGCTCGGGCTTTCCCCGTGGTGGTGGTGATGGTGGCTGAGCCTCCTGTGCTGGCTCCACAGCCCTCAGAGCTCCTCACCTGCAGAGCATCAGCCCCAGCAGCTCAGATCAAAGCAACAGGGATGATTTATCCATTCCCTGATGGGATCAGGGGCCCTTGGCTACTGTGCTGGGGGGTTTTGGTGGCCCACTGGTGGTGATGTAGTCCAAATACAACCCTTATTTTTATAGTGATGCAGAGGGATATCTCTAGGGTGTCATCCCTTGAGTGGTTGGTCTGCTCTAGGGTACAAGCCTTCCTGAGTTTCTCCCATCACTATGCTCTATCCATTCTGCTTCTGTAAGTCCACTGTGCCTCAGTTTCCCACTTATGTATCTATAATAGATGGGTTTGAGAACATTCTTCCCACAGCATCATGAGCCACCACATCCAGGGCAGAAGGTGATGCTGGTGCCCACTCACAGGGCAGCGATTGGTTTTGGGGCCCCCAGGCTGATCTGAGGGTCCTGTGGTCCATGCACCCAGAAAGCAGCAGGGAGCAATCCCCAGGATTGAGTCTGGGGGGCACCTTTGGATGTCTCCAGTATCTCCAGTGGGTTATGGATGAGATGCTGCATGAGGAAGCCTCAGCAGTGGGTTTGTCACCACAGCATCTTCCAAGCCCATCCAAGCACCGCACACCCTGTGCAGGCAGCAGCAATGCAGCCCCTTCTTCCTTCTCCCTTATCCCTAATTTAAGACCCCCATCCCTGATCCCCCAGGAGCATCCCCATGGGTTAAAGATGCCATCTCTGCGGAGCACCAACTGCTGCCTGCATAATCCCAAAGTTCTATTACTTGCCTATTACAAGGCTGACATCTCAGCCTGTCCAGCTTAGCTAAGCAGTGGCTTCAAACCTCCATGGCACAGGCCCTGGGACACGTCTGATTCTGTGTGTAGGGACTACACGTGCATGTCCACACCAAAGCTGTTGGCACTTCAAGATGCTTTTTGGCTTCTCAGTCTCAGCTCAAGAGCTGGTTCCCCTTCAGGCGATGTCATTCCCAGATTCTGGGGGTCCCCAAACAGGGATTATCCCAGAGAAGGGTTTAAGGTGCCCTGAGGAGTTGGGGTGAGGGCAGTTTGGGGGGTTTCAGCCCTGCTGAGGCTCCACCTTCACACTGGGGCATTGGGATGCTCATGGGATTTGGGGTTTATGTGCAACACCTACTGTTGGGTGCAAGCAACAGCTTCCCAATGAGCACACGCCTGTGAGCGCACCCATGGGGCCAGGAGCATCCCTGTTTGTCCTCACAGAAAACACAGTGCTTGGTGGTGACCATGGCCAGGACGTGGCTCCGTGGCTGCAGAATTGGCTGCTTCCACCCTCTTCCCAGTTTCTGTGCCCTTGGGGCTCTCGCTCCCAGTTCCCCCCATCCCTGGGGTCCCCAGTGCTGTGGTTTGGGGGGGCAGAAAGGGGTCGGTGGGAGCCCCCCACGGCTCCTTTAAGAAACCCACAACCGGCTCCAGAAACCAGCTCAAGGTCACAGCAGGAACCTGCGGACTTGGCAGGGAGAGGAGGGAGGAGGGATGGAGGAGGGAGGAAAACAGCCGAGATCGGAATGAAATCACAGCCAGGGAGAGGGCACGGCCGGGGCGCAGCGGGAATGTGGGTGCAGCAGAATGTGGGTCCCACCCATGGGTGCCCCCCAGCCCCAGTGTGGACCCTCGTGTCCCCCAACACAGAACCCTACACCCTCCTCGATGCCGTCCAATGTGCCCATGTGGGGGTCCAAGTCCCCGTGTGCCCCCAGCGCCATCCTGGGAATGCCAAGAGTCACATCCTTCCCACGGGAATTCCTGGCTTTCCCAGCCCTACAGGAGCAAAGCAGGAGGGAGCTGCTGGCAGGAGGGTCAGATCCTGCATTCCCAAACTCTTACCTTGTTTTCCTTTTAAAGCAGCAGCTCCTCAAGTCCCGTGGTCACTGCTGAGTCTCTGCCTTCGTTTCAGGCCAGGAAGGACCTCCAGAGGTGTCCTTGCTGGAGAGAACAGGAGGGGAAATCGGCTTTAAGGGCCCCAAAATTGGGAATTTAATAAAAAATAAATGAAAACCCTCACCATTGAATCCTGTTGAGTTTTGGCATTGAAATGAATCTCACAATTCCGAGTGCTCAACTTCCCCGCTGGGCAGGTAAAGCCGAGGCACCAGAGATAAAGGCCCTGTTCAAGCCAGGGTGCTCAAAACAGGGTTAGCGCATCCCCTCCGAGACCAGGGGCCTGATCCCTGCCCATTCCCCACACAGGGACCCTCATGCAGGGGCTTTATGGGCACAAGCAAAGCTCCTGGACACGGACCCTGGCAGGACGGCTGTGGTCAGGCTGGGGCTGAGCTCATCTCACCCTGGGCTTGGTTTGGTGATTCCCGATGTTGATTCTCACCCACAGAATTAATCTGTGGAGCTCTTTTCCCTTCCTCCCCCTCCCCTCCCTCTGCTCTCTGCCTTGTGCAGGGTTTGATCATTCCTCCCAGGAGCTTGGCACTGTTAACATCCATCCCCAATGTGTGTGAGCATCGGCATCGCCAAGCACTGCTGGTGCTGCTGGCTCTGGTACCCAACCCCACTGCATCTGAGCATCAGCCCGGGTGGGGAGAGCCCGTTTGCCACTGGGATGCCCGGGCACAGCAGAGGAGGGATCCTTTGCTGGAGCTTTGGCTTTTCCAGCAGATGAAAACTGAGGGGCTCTGGAGAGAGCACCCAAAGCAAGAGCATGGCCAAGTCTTGCAAGGGTTGGTGCTTTGAGTCACACAGATTGGTGACCCAGGGCTTTCCTGGACTCATGGGGGTTTGCAGGGCTTGTGTTTCAGTAATAGAGCTTAACTAACATTCTTCTTTTTCTTCTATTTCTTCTTCTTTCTATTATTATTATTATTATAAATGTTATTAAACCTTGCAGAACAGGATGCCTCCCCCAACAACAGCATCTGGGAACCACATTCAGCACAGCCCCATCCAGCTGCAGCCTGGCTATTTCTTCTTCCTCTTCTTCCTCTTCTTCTTCCTCTTCCTCTTCTTCTATTAATTATTGTTATTTCTATGTTTTAATATAGTTTAATATATTTATTATAATTTAATGTAATTAAATCTTGCTTCCACCAGCAACAGCATCTGGGAGCCACATTCAGCACAGCCCTATCCAGCTGCAGCCTGGCTATTTCTTTTTCCTCTTCTTCCTCTTCATCTTCTTCCTTTTCTTCTATTATTATTATTTCTATATTTTAATACAGTTTAATGTATTTATCATAATTTAATCTCATTAAATCTTGTGGCCCAGGCTGCCTGCCCCCACAACAGCACTGGGAAGCCAGAGTCAGCACAGCCCCATCAGCCTCACTGTGCCGGCCATGGCCCCTCTCTGTACACTCCATAGGTCTGTGTGCTATAGATCCGTGTGTGATGTATGAATCTATACGGGAAGCAGCCTGTGCTGAGACTTCACTTTCTTTGCTGAGCTGAGGTCTGAAGGGGGCCCAAGAGCTCCAGCAATGGGGAAGGGAGGAAACACAGAGCCTGATGGGTTTAACAACACTTGGCTGGAGTATGGTGGGGAGCAGCATTGGCTGTGAGGTTCCTCAAGCCTTTTTGGCCCCTATTTTGGGCCCTTCTCTCTTCTGCAGCCCTCCAGCAGCAGTACTAACTCACACATGCATCTGCAGGGATGCTGATGGGCAGCCCGTGCTTGTGTGCAGGCACCAAAGCCCACCAGCACTCACCACACTTAACCATTTCCTTATGAACACGAGTTCCCCTGGTGTGTCCCGCATGGGAAGTGGAATCAGCTCCCAATGGGAACTGCAATGAACCCACACAGCCCAGGGAGAGCAAAACCAGTGAAGGAAAAACATTCAGAAGCTGGAATGGAAAATAAAGGTTAAACCCTGCTGCCATCCCCATCACCCACTGCTTGTCCTGGGGTGAAGAGGAGCCTGGTGCTGCTGCACACCCTTAGAGATAGCCAAAGCAATCCGCTTGTCCCACCAAGGCTGTGCAGAAAGGGGTGGGTTTTGCCTTAGCAGAATTCCTGCTTCAATCCCTGCTTTTCCCCCCTCCTTTGTGGCTATGGAGAAGGGAGCAGCCGGGTCTGAGCCCATCACCGCAGGCAAGGCGATGGCTGAGCCCAGGAGCCACCCTCTTTGTCTGTAGCCTCAGTGTAACAAGGATTAATTAATATGAGCATCAGTGGTGATGCTGAGATGACACGAGTGCTGGGGACTTGTCTGTGTGAGGGTTTGCAGCCGGGTGGGTTCACATCATTGCTCTAACTGCAAGGAATAAGCTGAGCTGCCCCTGAGCCCAGCAATGGGCTGCAATGGGATGCGCTGGGGGCTTTGGGCTCAGGGCTGGCTCCCCAGCAGCGCCTCCCCACCCACACGAGCTCATTCATCCCGAAGCCCCTGTGGGCAGTAAGGTGGGAAGATGCTTGGCCC